GGTGGTCTCCCATCCCTGCTTAGCTTTATTTTAAGATGCCCGCCGAGGTAACAATTGGGATTTCCTGGTGGTCTCCCATCCCCGTTTAGCTTTGTTTTAAAATACCCACTGAGGTATTGCTGTAACAACCGCACAAAAAAGGGAGCAAATCAGTTCTCTTTTTTGGGGGGGACAAATGAATGGAACTCCCCTTTCCCTCCCACCCCCATGTCTCAGTCTAGCCCTGGGATTTCCCGGTGGTCTCCACTCCACGCTTAGCTTTATTTTAAGATGCCCGCCGAGGGGTTACTGTAACAATTGCACAAAAATGGGAGTAGCTCCGTTGTCATTTGGGGGGGGGGGACAAATGAATGAAAGCCCCCCTTTTTTCAATGACTGTAGCCGGGAGGGGATTTCCTGGTGGTCTCCCATTCCTGCTTAGCTTTCTTTTAAGATGCCCACCGAGGTGTTGCTCTAACAATTGCACAAATATGGGAACAAATCCATTCTCTTTTTTGGGGGGCCAAATGAATGGAACCCCCTTTTTTTCTCCCCACCCCCGTGTCTCAGTCTAGCCCCGGGATTTCCTGGTGGTCTCCCATCCCCGTTTAGCTTTATTTTAAAATACCCACTGAGGGTATTGCTGTAACAACTGCACAAAAATGGAAGCAAATCAGTTCTCTTTTTGGGGGGCCCAAATGAATGGAACCCCCTTTTTTTCTCCCCCCCCTCAGTCTACAACTGGGATTTCCTGGTGGTCTCCACTCCATGCTTAGCTTTATTTTAAGATGCCCGCTGAGGTGTTGCTGTAACAATTGCACAAAAACGGGAGTAGCTCCGTTGTCATTGGGGGGGGGGACAATGAATGAAAGCCCACCCTTTTTTCAATGACTGTAGCCGGGAGGAGATTTCCTGGTGGTCTCCCATTCCTGCTTAGCTTTCTTTTAAGATGCCCACCGAGGTGTTGCTCTAACAATTGCACACGCACACGCACACGCACACACACAAAGGGCGTAAGCGTGACCTTCCTTCCAGGTCAGATTCCGCCTTGCAAGTCCGCAACGAAGCGCTTCCAACCCAATGCCCTCGATTTCAAACGCCTCCCCGGCGCAACCCTCCTCGTTTCGCGGGAGACACGAACCCGCTTCCTCTCCCACGCCCCACCCTCCCTTCTCCTCCGCGCCCGTGGCAAGGTTTGGTGCGTGTTTTGGGGAGGGGTGAGAGAAACACCCTTGAGCTGCACCCCCTTCCCCTGCAGAGCCCCTCAACTCACCCCGGTGCTGATCTTCGTGACCCCGCGATGATCCATCGCCTCCCGTTTCCCACGAAGCGCCTCGGAGTGGAGAAAAACTCGGGAGTTTTTCGGAGATCGAAAGTGATAGCAAAAAAAAGAGACGCCCGAGAAGGCGCAGCGCCTCCCGTGGACATCAGAGGGCGCCCCGACCTGTCGTCCGTCAACCCCGGGAGAAGCGCCGCGACCCGTGAGAGAGCGGAGTGGGACTTGGACGGCAGCCCCTATTCTTCTTCCCCACCCGCAGCCAGTTTCATCGAAGGAAAGGGGGTTCGGATTCAGATGAACGAGAGTTCGGGACGGGACCTTTGTAGGTCATCTAGCCCAACCCCTGAAACTGAACAAGGAGAGATTCAACCTGGAAAGGAGGAGAAACTTTTTGACAGGGAGAACAGTCAACCCATGGAACAGAAGTTGCCCTCGGAAGTTGTGGGAGCGCCATCCCTGGAGGCTTTCAGGAAGAGATTGGACTGCTATTTGTCAGAAACGGTGTAGGGTCTTCCACTTGGGTGTGGGGTTGGACTAGATGACCTACAAGGTCCCTTCCAGCCCTGATTATCTGTTAAGTCTGTTAAAGCCCCACCTCCGGCCCAAGCAGGAGATCCTACATCAGTGGCCCCCAAGCTTTTTTGAACCAGGGACCGGTTTCATGATTATTTATTCTTCCACGGACCGGTACCTGAGTAACGCGAGACTCCACCACCATTGGGACGGCTCTTCGTTTGAAGCGCCCCCCCCCACCTTCGACGAAGCTAAGGCGCGAGCACGCAAACACCGCTTTCCAACTGAAAACCCGGAAGCAACCGAAAACCCGGAAGTGCTGTCGAAACAAGATGGCGGCACCCAAGCTTTGCGGCCCAGTAAAAAATGATCCACGGACCGGTCCCGGTCCGGGGACCGGTGGTTGGGGACCCCTGCCCTACATCATTCCTGACAGGTGGCAGGCAGTTCCAATCTCTTGAGATTGGATCACCTGAGACTTTCAAGATGAGATTGGACTCCCCTCTGTCAGAAATGGCCTAGGGCCTCCTTGCTTGGGCAGGGGGTTGGACTAGATGACCTGCAAGGTCCCTTCCAACCAGTGGTGGGATTCAAGTTTTTTTTTTTTTTACTCCCGGTTCTGTGGCCGTGGCGTGGTGGGCGCGGCAGGGGAAGGATACTGTCAAATCTCCAGTCAGAGGTGGTTATTTGCCGGTTCTCCGAACTACTCAAAATTTCCGCTACCGGTTCTCCAGAAGTGGTCGGAACCTGCTGAATACCCACCTTTGCTGATTATCTGTTACCTTCTTGAAAGCCTCCAGTGATGAAGCTCCCACAACTTCCGAAGGCGACTTCTGTGCCATGCGTTGATTGTTCTCACGGTCGGATAATTTCTCCTTATTTCCAGGTTGAATCTCTCCTTCTTCAAGCAGCGCAGAAGATGAGACAAGAAGCCATGGGTGGAAACTAATCAAGGAGAGAAGCAACTTAAAGGTGACATTGGAACGACTTGCCTCATGAAGTTGTGAATGCTCCAACACGGGAAGTTTTTAAAGAAGAGGTTGGATAACTATTTGTCTGAAGTGGTGTAGAGCAATGGTCCCCAACCTTTTTTGTACCGCGGCCCGGTACCGGCATCACGAAATCATCCGCGGCCCAGTACCGGCATCAGCACGCATGGCAAGGCGAGCCGAGCGACCGGCCAGCTGGCCGTCTCCTGCTTCTCCCCACCACCTTCAACTCCTCCTTTGTACCTGTGTTGATGAGCTTCGCGACGGCTTCGGGACAATCGCTCAGCTCGCCTTGCCTTGGGTGCTGAAAGAATCCTCGCGCCTTAGTTTTGTTTGAAGCCGCCCCCCCTCGATGAAACTAAGGCGCGAGGATTCTTTCAGCACCCAAACGCCGCTTTCTACCCAGAAAAGCTCACCGGAAGCACTTTTTCATCAAAACAAGATGGCGGCGCCCAGCAAACTGGCGGCCCGGTAGAAATTGTTCCACGGACCGGTACTGGTCCGGGGACCGGTGGTTGGGGACCGCTGGTGTAGAGTTTCCTGCCTGAGAAGAGGGTTGGACTAGAACAGGGGTCGCCAACCTTTTGGACCTCAGGGACCCCCAAACTCATGATTTTAAGTCCCAGGGACCACTAACCGGTTTGGTGGGCATGGCCTAATTGGTGTGTGTGGCTTGGTGGTCATGTGACTGGCTGGGCATGGCTTGTCTGTAAATATTATAAATATTTGTATAAATATTGCATTTTTTAATATAGATAAAAAGCCGTTTTTACCTAAAATCGGGCAAAGCAGGCAGGCAAATGTCCCTTCCGACTCTGTTATTCTGTTCTAAGTGAAGCTGGACTTTAAAGAAGAAGAACGGGAAGAGGATCGACAGTTTTAAATTTTGATCGGAGAAGACTCGTGTGGAGTATCATGGACAGCCAAGAAAACAAACCGATGGGTCACTGAAGAAATGAAGCCAGCATTCTCACTCTCAAGGCTCAAATTATCAGACACATAATGCGAGGACTCAGCTTTCTTAGATAGATACAGATTAACAGAGTTGGAAGGGACCTTGTAGGCCATCTAGTCCACCCCCCTCACCCAATCAGGCCCTACACCATTTCTGACAGATGGCAGTCCAGTCTCTTCTTGAAAGCTTTCAGTGATGAAGCTCCCACAACTTCCGAGGGCAACTTCCGTTCCATTGGTTGATTCTTCTCACTGTCAGAAAGTTTCTCCTTATTTCCAGGTTGAATCTCTCTCCTTGATCAGTTTCCACCCATTATTTCTTGTCTGGCCTTCAGGTGCTTTGGAGAATAGCTTGAAACGCCCCCCCCCTCCTCTCTGGGGCAGTCCCTCAAATATTGGAAGACTGCCAAGGGAAGGAGGCTTGGCGTTGCTTCCCCACGCGGCTTCCTTAAGCGCGAGACTCCGTTTCTGGGACACGGGGTGGGTGGCTGGGTGGGTTAGAATTTGACCCGAGGATCGGGGCTGGTTCCCTGCCAAGAAAGCCTTTAGAAAGAAGCAGAACTGGAAATGTGATAATAATCCTTCCGACACCATGATAATAAAAAAGGTTTTAGAGTGTGCAGAGATGGATAGGAAACAGAGTACTATGGAATTGGGAACCTATGGTACAACTGGTTAGAAGGTAGACGGAAAGTAGATAGAGGAAAGAAAGATAGGAGTTATGGTAAGATGTAACTATGTAAATAATTACATAAATCTGTGAACGAATATATGAATATATTAAATTGAATGTAGGAATAACTGAAACAGTACTTAGTAATAATCTACATATTTAGAACTTGCTGTAATAAGTGGAAATGTGTTATTAATTGTTAAATGATTATTTTTTTAAAAAAGTAAGAAAGGTGGGATAAAAAAAATCTAATAAATACATGCATGCAATATTTGGATAGATTAAAAACTTCATTATATCATGAAAAAAGAAAAAGAAAGAAAGAAAGAAAGAAAGAAAGAAAGAAAGAAAGAAAGAAGCAGAGTAAAAATGTTTAGTAATTTATCTGCAAAATGCTGGAAATGTAACAATACCATAGTAGTATCATAGCAGTATCATATGTGGAAATGTAACGATACCATAGTAGTATCATAAATATTAGGAGAAAATAGGTAGCTGGCTGGAAAGAAATAACGAAACAGAATATAGGCCAAAAACCAGATGTATACCTGCTGGGCATAATTCCAGAAGGTTGTGATAAAGGAATTGCATGTTTAGGTTCACATATATTGATAGCAGCAAGATCTATTCTATTCCTATTCTAATTCTATTTGCAAACTTTAAGTTTACCTCAAACAGTCTAGCGTGGACCTCACTCCATTCCTAAGAGGTCTGTAAGGGGGCGTGCATAAGCGCACCAGCGTGCCTACTGTCCCTGTCTGAGTGTCCCCATTTATTCATACTCATTTATTATGTATATCTACTTATACCTGTTTATACTTATATGTTTATATGTTATGTTCATACTTATACTTGTTTTCTAAGACATGCTTGACAAAATAAATAAATAAATATTATATCCTATCCAATCCTATCCTATCCTATCCTATCCTATCCTATCCTAATATCCTATCCTAAATTAATGATTTTGATCAGCCCTGTTGTATGAATCCGGCCATGATGTAATTCTTGCACTGCTTGGCAGCAGCTCATTCAGGTTTTAGCCTCCTTCTTGAAGCTGGGTCAAAATGTAAACCTCTTTTTTTTGGCCTTCGAAATGCACCAATTCCTGACTCTTAGCAGTCTAATCCAGGCAGTTTTCCCAAAGTGGTTTGCCATTGCCCCTTTCCTAGGGCTGGAGAGAGAGTGACTGGCCCCAAATCACACAGCTGGCTTCGTGCCTGAAGTTCCACTTCAGCGTCTCCGGCTTCCTAAGCAGGTGTCTTAACCACTCCACCAATTGCTCTGGACAATTTTTTGGATCCAAAATAAGGATATTGTCTGACTGGGACCTGGTGGGGTGGGGGAAGGGATGTCCTCCAGATACGGTCAGAAGAGTCAAAATGGTGGCCTGGTTTTTCGAGGCCTCACCTTTTGTTTTTAACTGAGGGCTTTTCCTTCTCCTGGTTAGCTCTTCTTCTCCAAAGCACCTGAGGGCAGGACAAGAAGCAATGGGTGGAAACTAAAGGAGGAGAGAAGCAACCTGGAATTAAGGAGACGTTTTTTGTGACAGATTGTTCCATCTGTCACAAATTTTCTCCTTAATTCCAGGTGGAACAACTTGCCTCCAGAAGTTGTGGGTGCTCCAGGACTGGAAGCTTTGAAGAAGAGATTGGATCACCATGTGGCTAAAAGGGTAGGAGGTTTCCTGCCTAAGGAGAAGGGGGTTGGACTAGATGACCTCCAAGGTCCCTTCCAACTCTGTTATTCTATTCTATTTCTAAGTCATCCCATCTAATGCTCCTGTCAGTGTAGAAAGCCAAGAATGTCTTTTTTTCCTTTTTTTTTTGGTACAATTTTTTTTTCTTGTTTTTTTTTACAAACATATCATTATGTGAACCGTGTGGCACCGGAGTGCCTTACATTTTAAAACAAATATGACAACATTCTTCATATTTAATAACAGTTGACAATCTTATAAAATTTTTAATATTAATGCACATATTTTGTTGACTTGTCATCTTTCCTTCTTTGATTCTTCAACCATTTCAGTTATGTTATTTTTCTGTCACCCTCCATATTCTAAACATCCCTCTTTTTACCAGGGGTAAAATAGTATTACTCATATTTGCCAAGAGTGTCTCTGAGCTGCTACAGAGTATTTCATACAGAGGAAAGTGGGACCTGGAAAGGAGGAACAGAAGGAACGTGCGAAATGGGTCAGTGGCTGGCATGTGTAAACGAGAGTGGATAGGAGGGCGGCGGCAGCTGGCACAATATGATGTTTGTGGGTATGTGTGAATACGTGGAATGAGACACAACTGGGCTCAAGCTCTGCACGGAGAGGCCAGGGATGAGAAAGAAGGTTGAGTTTAATCCAAGGCTCTCCAAACTTGGCAACTTTAAGACTTGTGGATTTCAACTCCCAGAATTCCTCCTCCAGTCATGTTAGCTCGGGGATTCTGGGAGTTGAAGTGCACAAGTCTTAAACTTGCCAAGTTTGAAGAGCCTTGGTTTAAAGCAGGGGTTCTTCAAACTTGACCGCTTTAAGACTTGTGGACTTCAACTCCCAGAATTCCTCCTCCAGTCATGTTAGCTTGGGGATTCTGGGAGTTTAGAATTTAGAATTTATTTGGTTTGTCAATAGCTTACAAGATAATAGGTATAAGTAAAAACATAGTTATGAATACATGGATACATATAAGAAAAATAAAAAAAATAAAAGAAACAATAGGACAGGGACGGTAGGCACGTTGGTGCGCTTATGCACGCCCCCTACAGACCTCTTAGGAAAGGGGTGAGGTCAATAGTAGACAGTCTAAGTTTAAAGTTTTTGGGGTTTGGGGAAAAAACCACAGAGTCAGGTAGAGTATTCCAGACATTGACTACTTTATTGCTGAAGTCATATGTCCTGCAATCAAGTTTGGTGCGATTAACCTTGAGTTTGTTTCTATTGTTTGCTCTTGTGTTGTTATGGTTGAAGCTGAAGTATTCATTGACAGGTAGGACATTGCAATGTATGATTTTATATGCTATACTTAAATCGGACCAAAGGCGGCGTAGTTCTAGGTTTTTTAGGTCTAGAATTTCAAGTGTGGTGGCATAAGGTATTCTGCAACAAGTAGAGGAGTGGAGAACTCTTCTTGTGAAATATTTCTGGACCTTCTCAACTGTGTTAATATCAGGTATGTAATGTGGGTTCCAGAGTGGTGAGCTGTATTCAAGTATTGGTCTAGCAAATGTTTTATATGTTCTAGTTATTAGTGTGAAATTACCAGAGAAAAAGCTACGTAAGATTAGGTTAACAACTCTTAATGCCTTTTTGGCTATGTAGTTACAGTCGGCTCTAGCACTTAGATCATTAGAGATGAATATTCCAAGGTCATTTACAGAGTTTGAAGTCCGCTAGTCTTAAACTTGCCGAGGTTAAAAAGAGCCTTGGTTTAAAGCAGAGGGTTCTTCAAACTTGGCCTCTCGAAGACTTGTGGACTTCAACTCCCAGAATCCCCGAGCTAACATGACTGGAGGAGGAATTCTGGGAGATGAAGTCCACAAGTCTTAAACTTGCCAAGGTTAAAAAGAGCCTGGTTTTAAAGCAGGGGGTTCTTCAAACTTGGCCTCTCGAAGACTTGTGGACTTCAACTCCCAGAGTTCCCGAGGTAACATCACTGGGGGAGGAATTCTAGGAGTTGAAGTCCACAAGTCTTGAAAGTTGCCAAGTTTGGAGATCTCTGGTTGCAAGTTTGAGAAACGCTGAGCGGCCGCTTTTTCTCCCTCCCCCTCCCTCCCCCACCTTCCCTGGATCTCATTCCCGCAGCATTTGCACTTTTTTTTTTTTTTTTTTGGACACAATTTATTGTTTGGTGCGACGAAGCCTCCCCGGTTGAACGAGCAACCGCCTGCCTGCAACCAAGCCTTTCGCTGGAAAGCGTCCAGCATCTCCCTCCGCCTCCCCTCCCGCTCTTTGTTTGCTCCGAGTTGTTAGTTTCACTTTCGGCTTCCGGGAAAGCGGCTGTTTCTGCGAAGCGCCCGCGGCCGAAGGTGCTTTCCAGAGCCGGGCGGGAGATAAGCCAAGACATGCCTTCCAGCCACCGCGATTTCCCCGCCCTCAGCTCAGTTGGAGCCGGCTCCCGGGCGCGGAGGAGCCTTCCTGCTCTTTTAAAGCCCCTTCTCGCGGCTGCTTTCTCCCACCGGTTCCGCGCCGCCTCTTCTCTGCAAACGGGAGAAAGTGCCCCAGACTCTGCGAGAAGCTCCTCCGACGCCGGTAAGTGGGTTCGTACTTAGCAGAGCTGCAGACTTTTATTTTTATTTGTCAGACGTGCACAAGATAACAGAGGAGGTGGTATTTTTATTTTATGTTATTTATTTGTCCAACATGTACAAGATA